AGCCCAGCCTGCCTTGTCTTCTCATTAAACCCCATTTCTAACTATTTTCCTGGGTGAGGGCACTCTGTGGGTGTGCGTATGGAGGTCCAAGTGCCAGCAACTGGAGAGACCAGGGCCCATGTCTATCATGCGGGTGCCTGTGTCAGTGTGTGATCACTAGTGACTACTGAGCAGGAATAGTGGGCGAGTAGGGTAAGAGGCTTGGGAGCCAGGTATCAAAGTGGCCATAAGTCTTGGTCAGATGGTCACGATTTGGCTGCTGGAGGGACTGCAAGGTCCAAGCTGCAGCTGAGGAGTCTATGGGGTCTGGAGTCAGCTGAGACCAATTTCCATGTCTGTCTCCACATGAGGCAGATGGAGAAGGGAGGATCTGAAGACCAGCTACTGGGTGGCCCTGAGTGTCCAAGCCAGTTACTGGAGGGATCGACAGTGCGTGTGCATCCATGGAAGGGGTCTGTACCAGCCACTGGAGAGGGGCTGTGGCCCCAGGGGCTCGTGTGTCCAGGTGCCAGCACCTGGGAGGACCAAGGACCCGGGGCCAGCTACAGCATAAGCTGTCTATGGCCAGTTGCTGGAGGGATCCATAGCCTTTATATATGTATATAATTCCCACTGATAGACCTTCATCCTAATCAACCAGAGAGGGGAACGCGATGAGGCCATTTTGTTTGCTTGAGTGCTGTGTTTTCTGTCCATGTGTGATCCGTGGCTGTCTGTCTGTCTGTGTCCATGCATTGTACGCGTGTGTGTGTATATTGGGAATACATGCTCAGACTTGCTCCTAGCAGGGGTAAGGAGATGCAGCAACCTCACTTCTACGGGGCTACCAGATGCTGCAACTTCTAACACAGAATAAAAATTCTGATGGAATAGCTGGTGTAGTGAAAGAAAATGTCCGAATTTTTCCTTGGAAATATTTTTTAAAAGAAGGCATCTTTCCCTGATGCTGTTATTTTGGTCATGAGCCTGGTAAGTTCTTCCTCTGCCACCTCTGAGTGCAGTGCCCAAGGCAACCAGCTGTGCATTGTGATCGCTTGAAGTAATGTCGTGTATCAACAGAGCCTGAAATACAAATAACTTTGATTGGAGCACAGAAAGTTTAAAAAGAAAAAGAATAGTGCTTTTGAGGCATTTTGTTATCCCAAAATGGGGACCACCACATGGATTAATCATCATCTGCATATTATGCAGTTTATAGCCGCATAACAACAATTACCGATTAATTTTATATCACTCCTGAGCACTGTAGTAAGCTTTCCTTGTCTGAGGTGCTTTTATAAAGCATAGGACAGAATATTGTTCATGGGTATGAAGGATATATAGTTCTACTACTGCGAAGAAAGTTGTGAGACTGTAACGCTACTGAAATTGGTGTCTCTTTGTCCTGAAGAGCTGGGCTACCTGCCTGACATTTTAGCCTTAATGGCAGTTTCTTAGCTTAATTAGGTTACAGATGCAAAACTGTGAACATTATTTGATTTCCTCTGTCCTTCATTCCTTCCCCAATGGGACATGGATGCACGCAGGGTAAAGAAGAACCCTCAGACGTCCCTAAAAGCATTGCAGAAAGTGGTTTGTCCACCAACAGCTTCTCTGAATTATGAACAAATACGCTTGCTTACTTCATTTTTGACCCACTAGAGAAGTAGAATGATGTGGCTTCCCTCAGGGCAATTTCTTCTTAAAATGTGCAGAAGCAGATCTCGGGTGGAAAAAAGATCTTTAAAATCAGGGACCGCCCTGTGTCTTCACTTAGGATCACCTTCTTTTGCTGGTTGACTAGCACCTTGCTTTTGATCTGAAACGTGTGCTGTTAGATATGTCCAGACTGCAGAGAGAACGAGCTTAACTTCAGAGGGAAACGGAGACAGTAAAGATGCTCTAGCCAAGGATGCAGGTTCAAAACTGCCCGATTAAACCTAGCCAAAGGGAATTTTGTCCCTGCTCACGAATGGTCTGCCTTCATCTGCTGCAGTAACTTTTCATCTTTTTAGCAGATTCACTTGTAGCATGTTTGGCAGTGATGCATTGACCCTGTCCATATTAAAAGATGCCATTGATAAATCAGCAGAGAATATGCAGAACCTTTTTGTTCTAGTGTGCAGTATGGATCCTGCAGCCTTACTGCATGTAACGCTAGCAGGGCATGTTTCTTTCAACACCTGTAGAAAACTGATTGAAGCTGGTCCTTTCCACATGCTTGCCTTGCCAGGGAATTAAAGCTTCAGGCTGCTGTTTGTGTGGAGTTTTTAAATATGTATGACCCAAACAAGGGGCCTGTTGAGAATGGCTCTAATCCTCTTGCATATGAAACCCGGTATTCTGCTCTTCTCTCTTTCTGATGTTTCTGTGTTTTCAGATACACTAAATCTACCTTTGAGGTTTCATTTCTTCTTGTGTAGAATATACTTTAATAGGTTGACCTTGCAGCTGGGGATTAGGAGATACTGGTTAAAGTTGGACACAATGAGCAGTTCATGTAATCATCCTTTGCCTTGGTTTCCCCATTTGTAATGCAGACAGAGTAATGTCCACCCTCCTATTTGCAGTTCTTTGAGCTTTGTTTCTGGGTAAATGATTTAGAAGCCATAATGTAGTGTAGACCTTCTACAGTCTGGTGTGAAGCCCTGCTGGAAGGTATTTGTCTGGGGATGCTACAAATCCATAGGTAAGGAGTAGAGGCTTCCCTATTTCTGATCAAATTCATAGACAGAAATACATCTGCATGCTGAAGAGATCAGACCAGCTGTGTGGGTGCAGGGAGTCCTGCCCAGTCCTGCCAGTCCCACTTGCACAGTCAGAAAATCTGTGTCTTAAGCAAATCTGATGAGTTATAGTTATAGTCTGTGGTCTCTATGCCAGTGATTCCTTGTGTGTAAAGCCTTGATTTTTCAAGAACATTTGCATGTAATGGCAGACTGACTGTTTAGCTGCAAAGACACAAATGACTGCAAGGTGAGTGAGAAACTCATGTAGCCAAAAACTCTTTCCGTAGAAGGCTTTTTTCATGCAAGGATCTCAGAAGGCTGAACTTTTCTGGCCTCCCTCTTGAGGTAAAGTTTGTAGGTTTTATTTGCCACTAGGACCTGGGGAGATATGGAGGATCAGGAGGAAGACAGATTTTAGGAGATGTATGTAGCAGCCCTTCCCCTGGCTGGGCCAGGAACTAGGGGATGCCTGTACTGTAG